AATACTATTACTACTGCTGCTGCGATAGTGAAACATGTAAAATATATTCTCATTAAGTTTTAAACAAGACAAGATCCAGTATTCAAACATACAATGTTCCTAAAGGTTTTAGAGAATGAGTCTCAAAGGTTATATCATCAGATGCAGTCAAGCTGTGGAAAGTTTCATTTTAGAACCTTGCAATCCTTTCAGAGGAAGAGACAGTCACAGAGGTTGAAAGACCCCAGCCGTTTGAAATGATTGTAATTTCTCATTGTAAAGACGCTTGCGATGCTTCAGAGGCTGCAGATGTTCTAAATTGAAAAGCCTCATAGGAAGATAATGTAACCCTGCAGAAGGTTGGTGTGACACGCCAGCTTTTCCTTGACACTTCAGATGCAGAAACTCAAGGAATGTGCCTTTGTGAGAAGTTATTTATGCAGACATTTCTAAAAGCATAAAGACAATTTAAGTTATACCTTTTGAAAATATTTGCGCACAGTGAACAGTACTTGTATTCTTCAATTAATTTTAATTTAATATTCAAATCAAACAACTTTACTAATCCCTCTTAGAGCAGTTACTTTGGAGCATCTTGTACTAAGAAAAATAAAGACGTAGTGATGTACAAACAGTAAATTATGCATAAGAGCTAGAAATTAAAATAGTAATGGACCAGACTAAATAAAAACAATTAAATGATCGTTCACAAAAAGATAAAAGGATCTGTGGTAATGAAAGGATAAAAGGTCAATAAAAATATAAAACCTAAAGAGCTCTAAGGAAACTGATGGCAGAGGGGATGAACCATTTAGAATGACGGTTAGTTTTACAAGCAGGTAAATACAAAACGGTGTCCTCATGGCAACAGAGAAAACTCACTTAAAAGCACATGTCCAAAAGAAGCCAAGGAGGCTCTGCTGGCTACAAAAAGAACCAACATCACCAGATTTTAACGATGCTGTTTAGACTGTTTCTGTCCTTAACTGAGAGGCTGTAAAACCTCCTTCTAGCCTTTCTTACAAATAATGATTATATAAAATAATTCCATGGTTTTTAGGCTGTTAAATTATTTTGTGTTCTTCTTTTGTGTAACCAGTGTTTAGATAGTGTGTGCTTCGTGTGTGTGTGTCTGACTGTGGGCTACATTATACTGAATGCCTGGACCTCCCCCAGGGAGAGTGAGGGACCCCAGCCTCTGGCAGCCTTATGTTGGGGGTCGCAAAGTGAAACGTTTTTTAACCCCCGCTTTAGAGTGGGAGCTTTGTCCTTGATCAGCAGAAAACACAAGAGGTCTCTGTTACAAAAATCAACAGGTATACGCTCATCATTGAGTCTCAGAAGTAATGTTGAATATGTGGGGAGCTCCATGAAACAATGAACCAACAGCAGATTGACATTTAGTACATAGGTCTGATAAAATTTGCATTCATTCTGAGCCTGGCTTCAGGCGTAATGTTACCTCTCCCATGTTGAATTAGATGCTAGAACACCATTGGGTCTGCTGCAGGCCTCTGGTGCTATCACAGTCCCCAGATCATCAGATTCCCATCTGCCTTTAACTGTATCAGCGTTTTCCAGCTTGAGGTTTCAAAGTGTCTTGTAAAGCTGTTTGCTAACAAATGTGTGTTATCTACCAACAAAGATTCTGCAGGGAAATCTGTCACTCAACTCTTTTAAAGGGATACTGAAACATGAATCTGTACTGACATTGGGTCATACATGTAGTAGAAATGTAAAATACATTTTGAAGTTGGTGCCTTCTTGGCCGAGAAAAGGCAGAAAGTGTCTTTTTGGCTCATGTGGATGAACTTCCAGAATGCACAGCACCACAGACCACTCCCACTAAGGTCCTCTATTTACAGACATATTTACTACAACACATACGGCCGTTTCCTCAACTTACTCCGAGATTTCTTCCAGAAGGAATTGGCATCTTGGAAATTCCTGGCAGAAAACAGTCTCTATGTCTGTGTCCATAGGTAAACAGTGAGAGCACCGACACTATCAGTCCACCCCAGCTCGAGCCGGCTCCGGGCTCCTCGTCCTCACCGCCGCCGACAGGCAGGCCTTATGTCTCCGGCAGCAGCTGAGACACAAGACCGGCCTGTCGGCAGCAGCCGCCTCGCCGCTATATTGCGGCTTGTAGAGATAGCTAAGAACATCGGATTTGAGCACAAGACCTTCAAAATCCCCTTCATCCATATCAGTTTTTTTCACCATTATCAACTTTCTCCATAGAGCCTGTTAGCATAGCTTCCAAGCAATATGGTGGATGTTAAGTTTCGATTCTGGGAGTGAGTTCCCACCCACTGATGAAGACCAGCTGAAAGACCAGGAGGGAACTCAGGGTTTTTAACGACGAGCAGGTAATAAGGAGAAACAATCACTGTAAACTTCACATTTTTCTGATTCCTTGCCACATATTCAACATATTCTAAAGAAATATATTATCTATAATTAACTGAAACCTTTCCAGAGGCGCTATATAATGCATTTGTCTAAATGACCCGATTCACTACTGAGCCAGGGAGAGTATCCACTGCATTTCACATTCACACCACAACTACACACTGATGGCAGAGGCTGCTATGCAAATTGTTAATCAGTAATCAAATTCATACACACTCACATGAGCGATTTGACGCTCCGTGTTTTGCCCAAGGACAATTCAACATGTGTCTGCACTCTGCAGGAGCTGAGGAGTGAACCCACTACTCAACCACTGAACCACAGCCTGAGGCCTGAGGGCAGGTTTGGATAACGTTGGGGGTGTAGCTTAAACAAAGATGTGCAAGACGCCAGGCATGGTCATGCAGATTAGGTGGAGACTTAACAATGGCCGTCGTCTGTTTTATGAAATAGTTAAACATTGTTCAATTGATTTTTCTTTTTCTTTCATGAGCGAAGTTACTCACAATGGCCAACTTTTAATTGTTGAATCATTGTTCCTTGAAAGAGCGTTCATTTTAGAAAATATGTCCGGCCTTTACACTGTTCAAAGCACTTTTATAATTGAAAGGTAAAGTGTTTAGTTGGTTTAGTTACTTTACTTTCCTGATTATGAACACTAGCAGCACTGTATGCTTCAGATTCTCATTTATTTTGCAGACAAAGTAGAATTAGTAGTGAATTAATAAAGTAGTACATTAATTATCATACAAGCTGCTCTAACGTGTCATTGCGTGTGATCTCAGTTTTTCTTTTTTAACTCCTGCAGAGCCTCTCTTCCCCTGACAGAGTTGAATTGTCCCCAAATGTTCTGGTGTGTGGTGAATAAATTCATCCTGACTGACAGTTGCTTTGACTCCTGAGCTCTGATGTTTTGAGGCAGACGGAGTTTTGTGATTGGCTGATGCCTGAACGTGGCTGTTCGTGATGGATCGGCACACTTTCCTCTAGAGACTGCAACATCTATACTGAGTTTACATCAGCGTGCATCTTTGATTGCCTTGACATGACATGTCACTCTAACACATGTATAGATCTGTCATGATTTAACAACATCTCTAACCACAGAAACAAAATCAAACACAACATCGATAAAAAAAAAAGAAATGATGTCAGAAATACTCTGAAGTGGAGATAATGAACGCTCAACATTATACCTGTCACGTTAATCATTTTAAGCTATGATGGAGTCAAACTTCACCTTCAAATTAAGATTCTAAAACAGAACTAACAGATATGCTTACAGATGGGTTTTTTTAAACTATATTCTAATGCAGGTTTCACACAAATGCAGTCTTGTTCCTTTTTATAACTGACTGTAAATAAAAGGTTAAAGTAATTGCGCCCCTTTAAATGTCATCTCTCGTTGTAGTGACCCCGTCAGACTGACAGCCCCGAGCTTCAACGTCTAACGTTGGCATCAAAGTAGACACATGTAATGTACAGAAGCTGAAAGCACACATACAACATCCATTTTATTTACTCCATTTTCTCGTGATTAGGAGTAATTTCCAGTGGTTTTCTTGAGATCTAAACTTATCCTGTTGTCAAATCAGGTTTTCACATTACAACAGATTTATTTATCTCTTTATCTCGAGATAACAAAGCTAGTTTTCTCGTGGTGACAGGATCATTTTCTGGCAATTTAGAAGAAAAAACAACAGGCGGGTACCTGTGATAGGACAAACCATTACATGCCAAGCTTCCATTGTCCATATACTCATTTGGTAAGTTAATCCTTATTTACTGTTTTTTTTTCTTGTGCTATTGAAACTCTGGGTATACGAGATGAATAAGTGGAGATCTTAGGAAAGCAAACTGTAACTACTTGCTATCACTGTAAATAACATGTAAGGATGCATGTCCACTTAGGGCTTCTATATCGGTTTACATTTAAAGAATTTGTTTTTATTTGAGATCGTTAGTTTTATTTCAGATATATTATGTGTTACTCTGTTAGTGTTTCTACATATTTTATTTTGTCATATCTCTTTTCACCATCTGGTAGAGACAAAGGGGTCATGCACCCCAGCAGATGTCATTTCCGGTATTAAAATGTTGGTAGTTAAGCTGCAGAAACACTTTTGGGCTTTGGACATTTTATTTGTGTATAAAAGACAGTTTCCTAGCCAGAGTGCTCACAGATCAAATGTCATTTTCTTTATGATTTCCTTATTTGTACATTTCCGTGAATCCGTTCGGTACGAGTTTCAGGTGAAATCTTCTTTTGATTTAAGAATATCTCTTCACTGGATGTAAAAGAAGATCATCTTAAAACTGACGCAGCAGCGTATACAAACACAGTCATCATGATGCTCTCAGAGCTCAGCGAGCACATTAACAGAAGTCTTCTAATGGTGGAAATGATGCAGAAGAAGAAAATGAATGTGGTCTCAACAGAAAACCAGATGGTGAATACTTAGCCAAATAGCCTCCGGAAAGCTTTTCCTCTCAATCATTTCTTCTGAAGCACAGTCCACATTTCTCACATTACCACCTTGCCCGACATTTATAATTTATATTGAATTTAATGCATGCACAACAACATGAAATAAAGAATTGCTAGAGTAGAATTTGCAAAATGAAATATTTTTTTATTTCTCATGTATCCAATCCAGTAATGTATTGATGAACAGTTTGAATGTTGTCACATTCGCCTTCAGCAGCCTTTTTGCCTTTGGGCTTCACCAGTTTGTTGAACTGACTCTTAAAGCCCGCAAACATCTAATTTGTGTTTGATAACCGAAAGACACAGTCAATAGTAGAAACTGACACGGCTTGTGTATTTGAGTTGTGATCAATTTATGCCACCTACTGTATGTTTTAAGTAGTGCAACAACAACACAAATCTTTTCACATCATTTTAATTATATCTCTTTTTAATTAACATGTATTAATCTGGGCAATTAATTCTTTTTTTAATCATCATTGTTGTCAACATGTCGAGGTGCTGTTGAGTAACCCTGGGGCTCTTGGGATACTAACTCTAAACTTGATTACAGGACGTTATTTACTTTTTGAATTTGCACCGTATTGATACATTTTATAATTGTATTTTATTTCCTTACTTTAGGAATAATAAAAGGATGAACTGGGTTTTTTTTAACTCAAATTTCAGACATTGTGGGTGTAATTATAATTGCTGATGATGTGGTGAACAAAAAAGTTTTTAAAAAAATGGTGCTTCTTAATCATACTTTTCATGCATACATGCCAAGGAGGCTTTGTAATAATGTTTAAGAGTTTAAATAGCCCTCATACTGGAGATTTATGCAGTTTTATTAGAATTAGATATATACAAAGAACATCAGTGAAGTGACACAGTGTATTAGCGTTAGTTTTTGAATAGTGGCAGCACCGTGATCATAATTCATTGATCCAACAGTCATCAAACTAAAAAAATCACGCTCAGTCTTTTATTCCACATAAAACCCTGATTATTAGCACATGCTTATAAATCTGAAAAAAAATTCAAGTAAAAATTGTAAGAGCACTTTTATCTCTTTAAATCACAAGCTGCAACAATTTATAAACTCCCTCCCATCATAGAAAATATGTCATTCATTATGCTCAGAAAAACAAAGCCTGGTTTCACCTGGAGGCCATCAGCAGAACTGAAAAAAGAATAAAAGAGGAATGAAAGAAGGATTAAAGAAGAGTCTTTTAATGTCAAAGATTGAAATCATTAAAATAAAAGCCAGGGACAGCCTTACCTTCCAGCGGTTACCACACTCATTACACAGAACAAATGTGGTCATTGGTTCATCAGCACTACGAGTCTGCACCTAAAAAACACACAAACACAAACACACATTCACAGGAGGTGAAACACACACAAAATTAATTTACACGTATTGGGTTTATTTTTCCTTTGACCTCTGTAATTAAAAAAAAAAATAATGTGAAGGATCTTGAAAATCTTACGCACATATATGCACATTAAACATGAACTGTAACCTCACAGCCTGATTGTCAAGTTTCCTGTCTGGTTTTCTCCTACTTTCTCTCATGCTGTCATTTCCCTTTGCACCCTCTCCACTGACTACTTATAATACATAAAACACATGACTTTTATTTTTTTTGCTTTGTTGAAACCTTTGTCTGGGTCCTTGTTCTTCCTATGCATGTCTGTTTACCTGGTTGTAGGTGCAGTTCCTCTTCTTGCATTTGCCGCACTGCAGCAGGTCGGTGCTGGTGCCTCCAGTTTTGGCCATTTGATGTTCCCTGATGGCCTCCTGTGTGAGAACGTTCCTCAGCTGCTTCAGCTCGTCACTCGCCATCTCCTTCAGAATATCACATGGGTACAAAATAAATAGCAGATAGTGAGTGAGGTATACTATTAATGAAATGAGTTTCATTAAAGTTAACTACGCGGCTGCAGTGTTGTGTACCTCAGCAGACATGCTGGCAATGCGGCTCAATTCGATGCTTCCTGCGAGGACGTTTCTGCGAAGCCCGGGGTTCTTTGGGTCCTTTAGGTTGCTCATGCGGCTGCGGACTCTGTTTTTATATTTCATATCTGTGGCCTTGATCTCCTGGTAGATATGTGCAGGCTGTGCAGTTAAGGCAGATCAAAACAATGATGTTGAACAATAGAGTTTTGGATAATCACAGAATAAACTCATCAAACCACCCATACAACAAAAAGTAATAAATAAATTGAAGGATATGATCTTCAATCTCTGCAGCCATGCTGTCACAGTTGGTTCCAAAATCTTTGAAGTCGTCTGTGGAGAGCAGAAAAAACATGTTATCTGCTGCAGGGAAACCTTTGAGTGTTTTTTAGATTAGTCAACTGTACAGTCTCTTAGAGATTGCAGTTTTATCCTCACTGTCTGTGCGCAGGGCAGCTGCCAGCAACCCGATGCACTTGTCTCTGACAGAGTCTCCGGTAGTGAGGTGAGGGGACAGAGGACCTCCAGTAGAGCTGGGTGACATCGGGCTGGTCGGGGTGGTGGGTGATTTAGGCGTGTCCATCTTGCCCTTTCTGCAGAAAAAGACAAAACAAAATAATTGTAGAGGTGTTATTGCTGATGTGTTTAATCTAATTGACTTTTTCCTTACTGAGCCTGGAATTTTAACCAGTCTTATTTTTTGTGGTCCAGCCTATAATTTTTTAATCCACAAAACATTTAGATATTATACTTTAAAGAAACATGTAAAAAAAAGTTTTACTTAGAGATAGCAGAACACATGAATGGAGCAATATGTAAGATACCTACTGAATTAATAAAAGGACATTACTACAGTATATGATCAGACATTAAGGAAACATGCTATGTTGAAGCGCTGACTGCTCTGACAACAATGCAGCAGCCAGTATGTCCTCTTCTATGTTCTGATTCTGGTGTGGAATGGTTTATTTTTGTTTTGACCAGAGCATGTAAGGAGTTTTAAGGCACCCCCACTTTGGATGCTTTAGAAAATTGAGCGCGGTTAGAGGGCAGAAATGTTACGAGACCAATGCAGAGCCGGTTAAACACTGAAGCTTCCATGTCCGTGACATGGGAACTTGCATGCAACTCGACTCTACAGAGAAGGGAACGGGGGCGACAGCTCTCTCCAAGGTTTTGGATTTGGGCTGCTGTACCTTCAGATGCTAGGTGTCAGAGTTACATAGTGCTCCTTTAACAATTTATCACATTAATAAGTTTATATGGCCACATGTTAGCAAAAACAAAACTAAATCATTCGTGTCAAACAAACTTTAAAGATCAATTTATAAGCTTAAAGTTGATTATTTGGTTGATAGGTATCAGTGAATAGTGGGTTCATCAAAATTACACTTCATTAACAAAAACATCTGGCTGTTGCTGCGAACAACAAGAAACAACAGTCAGACAGCCAATCAAATGGAAAGTTGATGAATTCATATTTAATCCAAAAATTGCCTCCCAACTTAGAATGAGTGAACTTCATCAAGATTGATCATAAAATCCAGAGTATCATCAGCGTATCATCATTATCAACCTGGAATGACGTGTATGTTATGAATCAAGTCACATCGAAACCTTTCAATGCAGTCAGTTGAGGGTTTCCTCATCGGAGGTCCAGGCTGAGAGGCCTTAGAGCCTTGAGACTCTCTCCTTCAATAAAAAAAAAAGTCACAATCATCATCATCATCAGGGTTTCCATTGAGTGCAATATTAATGAAAACTATTCTCCCCCTTCTCCTGTTTCATTTACCTTTCAGCTGGGAGCTTCTTTGCTTGTGGTGAGCTGCTTTTCTTTGATTCAGTGGATTCCCGTCTACAGTTAGTAAAGGACTTTCAGTAAATCTGGTTTTGTCAATTTGTATTTCATTTCAAGGTGTGAGAGAGATTTTAAGAATGGTACACCACTCCTACCTGTCAGGTCTGGAGTCAGTTGACTGACATTTTACAGGTGGGCCGGGCTTTGAGTCACAAGACTCCTTCCTGCAACGAAAGAGGTATGTGTGTGAGTTTGAGCACTGGACCTACTTTGGTTCAAATACAAGTTTGAAAGCAGAAAGCACCAGAATAGTGTCAGAAATGAAACAGCATAAATAGAAAAACAATGTGAAGAGGAATTTAATTTCCAGCTCCTGCACACCTGTGTTTTTCTTTTTTGACATCCACATTAGGCTTTTTCAAAGGTGGCCCTTTAGAGTCACATGAATCTTTCCTGACAAAAGACAACAATTGTTTTTATTTATTTTTTAATTCCACACAGGACGGTACAAGTATAAATGCATTATGCACTGCAGCCATCAAAGATAAATCTAATATCACACAACCTGTTTGTATCCTTGCAAGCTTTTTCACACTCATGCTTAGCCAACCTTTCTCTCTTGGCTTCATCTGAGTGTTTTTTTGGCACTTTGCTATCTGATGAGTCCTTCCTGTAAAAACAAAACATGACCTCTCATAACAGCACAACAAGCATCACATACTTACACTACTGTGTCAATATTTCCTGTACAAACAAGAAACAGATATTACAGTCCGAGGTCACTGGTCCTCCAAAGTCAACACCAACGTCATTTAGTCAACGATAAATAAGAGGCAAATAATTTCCAGATCCTGGACCTGTCTTTCTTCCCAATCTTTTCTTCTCGATCTGACGTCTTCTTCTGTGGAGAAGGTTTACAGTCTGATGACTCCTTCCTGCTGTGGCAAACAACACAAGGATTCAATACAGAGAAGGAAGAACTCCAAATGAAATCACTGCTTATTTTTCCAAAATAATCCAAGGAAAAAAACGACATGCAGCTCTGAGAATTCATATGATCCAGACCTCTCCTTTTTCCCATCAAGAGAGGGGCGCTTCACAGAAGGCGGGGGATGAAGGTGAAGAGGAAGTGGAGGAAGAGGCGCATTGGGGTCAGGAGGTTCCTTTCTGAAGGAAAGACACACTCTTGAGCTGAGCTGAATCCTCTCATGGTGATAGTGAATGGTTCACAAAATGAGGCTACGCAGTGAGCATGCAGACTCTGACCTTAGAGGAGGAGGATGAAGGTGAAGAGGTAGAGGAGCGAGGGGAGCGTTTGGGTCTGGTGGAACTCTCCTGATGTGAAAATCAACACTTGTTTGAGATAAAATCTCACGAGTGTGCACAAGAAAACAACTTCAGCAACGTGCACAGAAGTGCGCCTGACCTCTCTTTCTTTACTTCCAGTGAAGGACGCTTCGCTGGGGGAGAGGCGGGTCGAGAAGCTTGAGGACGAGGAAGTCTAGTGGAAGAGTCTTTGGTGTCCTTCCTGAACAGATGTTACAACAGATCAGAGCACTGCAGCCCAAGAGTCCTTGATTATGTAGCATGCTGTTCAAGCTCAATTCCATCTCCTTATGGTAATAAAAACACGACTGACCATGACAGCATGCAGCATGCACACCCATGAATCCTGTTAGGCCGTGAGTCATAAAACTGTAGGAACAAATGTGAGTGCAAATGAGAGTCTCAGAAACATTTATTTCATGCAGGATTGTTCACTCTGTCTTGGTCTTAGGCACAAGTCCTGACCTGTCTTTTTTCTGGTCCAAAGAGGGCCGTTTGATCGGCAGAGGAGGCCGAGCAGGTCGAGGAGGAGAGGGAATCCTGGTGGGATACAGGATGCAACTATCCAACACTCCCCTTCTGAAAGAAATCAATCAATCTTAAGCTCTGCAGGATGATTTTTTTTATCTTTTACCAGTTTAGATCCACCTCACCCCTCACCTTTCAAATAATGGTTTATGAATGTCCACGGGCCTCTCACACAGCACTCGCTCTCTGTGCAGCGTGTTATTCGGCCTCTCGTGTCGACTTCCTTCTCTGTGTTTCTCTTTCTTCATGTCGTCTACATAGCTTGGCTTCTTCACTTCCTCTGGGTGTTTTTCCTTTTTCACTTCTTCAATGAGCCTCATTTTGTTTGGTTTTTCAAACGGCCAGTCTTGCCTTGGTTCTGGCTTGTGTTTCTCACTCTGTGGGTCTTGAACAAGCTTTTGTTTCTGGTTATCCGTTTCTGCTTTTTCCCCGCCTGCAGATCTTTGTTTTTTAGGTTCTTCCACAAACTTCTCTCTTCTAATTTCTTGCGGATGTTTCTCATTTTGGGACTCCTTTTGGTGCTTTTCATCGCTGGGGTCATCTGTGGGTCTCTTCGTGTTTTTGTGTTCATTGTTATGTTTCTCTTTTACGTTTTTATCGGAGTGTTTTTTGTCAGGATCTGTGTCCTGTTTCGGTTTGACGTCCAGTCGCCTGTGACTAACAGAGACAAAGGAAGTGTCATTTTTTACCTCCGTTCACGAGCCAGAAAATATTTACCAGTTTAACATACAACTGGGTTTGTTGTTATAATGCAACTTAGGCCCCATTCTGAAAGTAATATTACTGCAGGAGATGAGTTCTAAAATATTTTCTCCTACTCCTAAAACAGTTAATCTGGTTAGTTAGAGAGAAAAGTCTATCTTTTCTATTTCCTTTATTGACTTTAGTTTTTGTTTCACAATTACAAAGTATGTCTTGTGCAACTCCTGAGATATTTTTGAATTAATCGCCTCTCCAGACTTAACCTAAAATAGGTGTAAAGTGAAAAGAAACTCTTGCACTTCAGCTTTCAGAAAATGACCTAAGACGTCAAAAACTCCTTCACACAGGCACAATCCAAAGAAAGAAATCACTTATAGCAAATGTCTAAGGTTTCGACGTTTCCTCAGAGTCAAACTGTTGCTTTGTTTCACACTGGGTAAGACGCGGTGCCATAAAATAAGTGTAGTCCTAATGAAGTTCTGGGAGAGGCAGGAGTGGTTCAGATGTTAGCACATTGCAGACTATCACTTCTGCCATAGACTCGTTAGAAATGTGCTATATTCAAACATTAGCCATTGTGATGGAAGTGTCTATTGTTATAAAATGTTCCCATTTGATGCAATGGCAAGTAGTCAACTTTGATAGCATACGTTTTTAACAAGAAAATTTAACAAAATGTCAGTTTTTTTTATAGCTTTACTTAAGATTTTTTTACTCTGTAATTATGAAAATGTGTCCTTGGTGCTGTATATTGTTTTTGTTTGGACTCTACCCTGACATTTACTGCTCACTTCCAGAATTACCATTGTGTTTTTCTCAATAAAAACAATACTGTATGTAAGAATGACGCAAGTTCAGCCATCAGCGGCTGCTGGAAAATGCTACTTCTTCAAAATAAAATGATGATGAAAGACTACTTAGATGACAAAGAGGTGAAAACAGTTTTTTTTTAAAGCTCCCAAAGCACATAAACATACATTTTCTTTACATCATCCTGAAACAAATATTCATTTTCCTGCTGCATTGTAATCCTCAAGGCACTCAGTGGTGTGTTACTCATGACACCTTTCGTTTACCCAAGTTTTCTGAGTGATTTTCCACAGATGTTTGTATTCACATGCCGTAGTCGAGATAACAGACACGTCTGAACGTGTAATTATAATGTAAGTCTATCGAGTTGAGCTAACGTTCCCCTGTTTCACTGAACTGAAGCAGACAGCTCAAACACACATCAGGTGTGTTGGCTCTAATCATGTAACCTGCGGAGACATTACTGACCTGCTCTGTGTCTCAGAGAGGGAGCTGTTAGGAGACGTCCCCGATTTGCTGGAGTCCAAACCATTCTTTATTTCTGTCGGTTTCTCAGGATGAGAGTGGCCCGAGTCTGTGGGAGTGTTTGGATGAATCACATCAGAAAATCATTCACTGATGTCTTTATTTCCAGCGCAATATCACTACGAAAGAACAGTTCAATTATGAAAATGTGTAACTTATGCATCATGTGACAAAGAAGCGTACCCAGAAGTCTTTTCCAGTCTTTAATGAGAACCTTTGCCAAGGCAATGACTTCCTCATCTGTGCAGTGCTTCCTGATGCCGTTAACAGACATGCCGATCCTCGTTTCCTGAAAACAAAAACACACAGACAAATGAAAGCATTAAAAGTCATGCATGTTGCTTTGTCAGGTAAATCATTATTGCATTGTTTTGCATTAAATACAATGTTTAAAAGAATTGGTAAAACAGTATTATTACAGTTTTATACATTGATGTCATACAGTGGAGCCTACCTGGAGGAGTTTGAGTGTCATATTGAATTCTTTCAGCTCCCTCAGCAGGTCGATGGCTCCCTCCTGCCAATCAGCAGACTTCATTTATACACTGAATCTATCAATCTTTTTTTATCAAGGTGTAATGATAATGTAATGTGCAGATTTTATATCATTAAATAAGGACATTTCAAAACATAGCTATGAGATATGGGCATTGGAAATGAACGTATGTGATTGTTTGTTTTATTATGTAGTTTGTGCTGACTAGTAAACTTTCGTTTGTTGTTACTGTTACTCCCGCTGTAAACGAGCGCAATAGAACAACGTCCTGTTTACACTGCAGTCAGCCACAACACACACACACACACACACACACACACACACACACACACACACACACACACACACATGCGCGCGCACCTGCAGAAATTCGACCTTGGTTGCGTTGTTTACTTTCTGTTGCATGAGTTACTAATCACACTCAATATTGCAACCAGCAAAGGTTTTCCGCAAACTTGTCCAAAAGTTAACAAAACCTGATTCACAGGCTGTGTCGCTGCAGACTCTTGAGACAGAAACGTCCTGCGAGCGAAATGTCTGCAAACAGTCGGCAAGCACCTGTTGATCGTTTGTTACAGCACTGTCAGTTTCAGATTACAGCCATGCGGACTCTCTAAACACACACTTTCAGGAGAAATCAAACGTTTTCAGAAGATAAAATCTGGAGTAATCCGTTTTATTTCGACCAAGAGTCGTTCACGGGCCTTCTGTACAGCACGAGGTGGCGGGACAACGCGCCACCTGTGGGTGTCATGATATGGACTCACCGTGTTATTTCTAGACACCATCTTGTCCAGTTTTTTGGCAATACGGATAAGATCTTCCTCTCGCGTCATCGCTGCATTTACTCGATCAAAACGAATCGATTATGACGGTTAGATGCGTGTATACAAAGAAAGGTGAAATTAATATTACAAATGTGTGTCCGCTGAGGTCGGACTTTACGCACGGCGCGCTCCATTCAGCCCAAAGGCGTGTCCTGCAGCAGGATCCCAGCTGACCTGCCCCACACATGACAACAACTAAATATAGACACGCCGGACAACACCACTATCTAAAATACCATATTTTAATGTAATCAGACGTCCTTTAAAAGAGTCCATCTCTTTAAATACTTCCTCATTTGCATGCGAATCAGTAACTTATTCATTATTTTATCTTCAATGTTATTGGCTGCATTTGTTTGTCATATTAGTTTACCTTTGCTTTTCCTAAAAATCTGCCTGACACTGAATGCACCAGTTTACTAAATGTTTGTAAGCCCACTCTAAACTTCAGCTCTGGACATATATTTACCAAATGTCCGCAGCAAGTAGTAGATTTGCAGATGTTATTGCAAAAAAACAAGTTACAGTTTTATTCAAGCTTTCAAAAAGTTTGCTAAAAAAAAACAACTTCCTGGATTTTGATTATTCGTGTTTTCCACCAGAGGGCGCCGTGATGCAAATCTATAAACTCTGACAATTGACTGTATTTCTTTTTCAGCCTCTCAGCTCCTGGCTTCCAAGCCAAACCTATCAGATCATTTCATGCCATTTATTTATTTATTTATTTATTCGTAAGGGACGTATACAATATACATAGACGAGCTGAAAACGGCCATCCAATGCAAGTATCATAGATGCTAATTTGCAACACCTGTCTATAGAAGTTATTTTGTGAGAATAATAAAAAATAAAAAATTAAAGTACAAAAAGAAAATATTAAAATCTTGCACATGCCTTCTTTGCAATCCATGTAAACATTTCAAATTTAAAAAAAAAAAAAAAAAGTATTTCAGGCCACACTGAAAATGTATAAAGACTTTATTTTTTTCAAATAATTAATTTTCCTTCTTCCTCTTCCTAAGGAACCTGTTTTCAGAAAAAGGTCTTATGAAAGTAATCATGATTCAGGTTTTTGGGCTGTTTTCCATACATGCAGAGATCATTTTAAAGTGATAGCCTAATATGCAACTGGAATTACTTTATTTGAAATGTCTTGATCCTGTAATTGCAATAGTCTGTGCTGCCTGCCTTTGACTCTTGGTGTGTGCTCAGTGAACTAGCATAGGTCAGTAAAACAAACGTTCGTAGAAGAAAACTCAAGCAAGTGCTTTCTACAAGGTCCTGGCTATCCTTGTAAAAATGTGCTTATATATTATCTCTGACAACTTCTTGGACGTGATCACTTGCAGACTGTTTTCATAGGAATTCTCTTAAAGGGGAAACACACTCCCAGAACTGGATCCATGCAGGCAATTACTCCCTCAGTCCACTTGGAACTGAGCTGCGCTTCAGGCCAGACCTCTGAGACGTCCCTGCTGCCGGATGTCTCGACGTTTGTGGGAAGCAAGGACATGGGAGATGCAAGTTGCGACATTTCTTTTTTGAAGTTAGATTAAATATCAGAGGATGAAGACTTGAGGTTTTAATCTGTTTGGAGTTCTTGGTCTAGAAATGTACCCGACAGTTTATATGGAAACAGTTTATGTAGACAGAATGCTCACTAACATAATTGTATATCATTACAGAGCAGGATTGGCTGAAGAACTTCAATGTCTGCCTTAAAGGTAAAGTTTTTGTACAAGAGAGAGTTGAGATTGTAAGACTAAAATGTGGATCATGTCCCATTAATCTGGGCTCAAAGTGTGATATTGATGTTTGCTGTGAGGGGATTTGAAGATAACTTTGTAAATGATGGCAGGTGAAAGCTTGTCCTGAACAAAGAGTATTATCTCTTTACTCCGCTGTTACACAACAGGCAGGCTGAGCGTAGATCCTAGTCCGTGCAGGCTGCAGTGTGTCTGGCAGGTAGAGACAGTGCTGGCCAACTGGAGAAGTGGGACAGGTTGCCATGAGGTAAGAGAGGAAGCAGGCCAAGAGGAAGAGCCAGTGATAAAGACCAACATCTTTTAACTCTCTGTTTTAAACCCTCCAACTCCGGGTCAAGGAAAGGAAAGGAAAGGCAGAGGATGAAGAGGAAGAGCTGCTCCATTTCAGCATGCTCTAACCTGATTACTAGACGCTCAGACTAAATAAACTGTGTGAACTCTTCATTCTGAAGAAAAGATCTCTGTGTACACTTTGTATCACCAGTTTTCTTCTCCAAACTCATATTAGGTTTATACATTTTATACATTTCCCTCTCCATCTTCATTGTCAAAAAGGATCTTTTCAGATGTATAACTGTACTTCTGACTGCCTTCAGCTATAGTCACTTGTCAAATAACAGTAAGGCTAATTTGTGTGATAAAGCCAAAACTGTTCTAAACCAATCAGATATATTCAGCATGCTTTTGAAACAATTGTAAATAAAATGATGACAGGAAACCAAAATAATAAAGTAAAGAGGCTTTATACCAAAACAAGGAGCTGAAAGACTAAAAAAATACTCTTTAGAGCTGAGGGGAACTACACAGGCGTCGTTTGATCCATTGTTTTCAAATATACAAGAGTGCAGCTTAAATAACAAATCAACACTTAAATGTTCCTTTACTTTTTTATTGTGAAGTTGAGATTTCTCTTTTTAGAGGGGTATTTTTTAGATGTGGTATCGTCACTTCTACTGGAGTACAAAGGATTTGATGGATAACAAACAAGAACTTTGCACATTAAAGAAAGTTGTGATTGTTTGTAAAAACTGAGATTTTCAGAAAGGAATAAGTTCTTGATGTTTTATGCAGTCAGTGGATCTCCTTTGCTCTGGATTCCTGGTGGCTCTGGCGGTTACATAAGTACATCTTCTTGTGTGCATTCCCATACACTGAACTGAAGAACCCCGAGCCTCTGCTGGATTTCAGAGTCTGTCATTAGCTCCTCTGGTCTGACCACATCAAGTCCGCTCATGTCTGTAGGTGCTTTTCTTGCAGACAGAAGAAAGTGGTCCTGCACACCTCTCAGTGCTAACTGTACTGTATCCTAAACAGACAAAGAGTTAACCCATTATCTAACTGGGAACATCCACCAGTTCCTCTTATGCACCTCACCCAGCAGCACATGGTGTCTCTGCCAGTCACAGACCAGAGACGCCAGGCCTCGGCAATTATGGCAATTTTTGGATGACATCAGACCAGAAAATGAATGATTTCATTTAGCTGTCAATTTTTTCCTGGATCATGGTGTAGCATGCAGAACCTGTAATAGAGCATGTCAAAACAGAGTGGGAGAAGTGTTTAGACGTTCACATCTGCAGTTGGCTGGAAGGTAATCCCAGCCTGGTGGGGCTGGTTGGTGCATCTGCTAATAATGACCACTGTTCAGCGTTGGCACCGACAAAAAGTAGGCTGAATCTCAAAAGGGAGGCTGGACCACCCAAAGACTTTAAGAACATCCTTGTGTCCTCAGCTGTCTTTAAGTCTCTATTTACTGCACACACACACACACACACACACACACACACACACACACACACACACACACACACACACATACACACACAGACACCAAATCTGCCAGATCCAAAACAGTTTTTGGTGGTGCCACTATTTTCAGCTTCCTTTGCCGAAAATAACTGGTGGTGCCACAGTTAGACGAAACCCAACCAAAAATAACTAAATGACTGACCAAGCTGAATCTGAATTGTGTACCGAGCAGGAGGTGTTTAACCCAATCCCTGTCTGCAAAAACTATACCTTTCAGTCAGCCAAAGTGCAGATTATAAAGTAATGAGACTCAAATCATGTTTTATTCTATAACTCCATAAATGCCTTTGGAATAAAAAGAAGAAAGCTTGAAAGGAATATGTAAAATATGTACTATAACATTTTCACAACTGTCAATTACACATTGGCACATTTGACAGACTGAGTCATTTGTGTAGTGTGTCTGCAAAAATATCCTGTGGTTCTTCCAAAGGCTGCGATTTTGATTTCTTGAGTCCCTTCGTTTGTGCTTCAACTTCACTTTTGTGTTAACAAGCAAGTGCACATCCCTTTTGGCCTGTGGCTGAGAGAGAAAAATTGTTCAAAATAAAGTAAAACATCATTATACTGTGAATCTGGACAAGGAGCTCAAAAGACTGGAGCAACTGAGGCTATACCTTCATGTCTGACAAGTGTTTGTTTTTTGTTAAAAAAAACTGTCAACAGGATCCAATAATTGAACTCAATGCAACACAATCTGCTATAAACTGTTTACAAACATCACCCTGCACAAGTCCTTCAGATTAAGCTGTACTAATTGACAGAGCAGAGTTCTAATGCTAGAAGGCCAAATTGTGTTAGTGTGTAAATCCCCTCTTACTCCAATTTCCTTTTAACTGCCCGTTAATCCCTTTAGAGCGCCATAGAGCAAAACCTGCAACAACCACCTTTCCTCCCTTTATCGGCAGCTTTTGCAGCAGTGAAGCTTTTGGATTCTGCAGATGTTAGAGGTTCAGATACAGGAACTACAGAGAATTAGGAGAAGAAGTGATTGGACTGCTATATTATCGCATAGGGGGTATGCTGTGCTCAATTTGCACAGGTTTTACACATATTTCAGGTTAGTTTTGCTTTCATTGGTTTATTGACTAGTTTATAAGAAGATTAACAGTCCATGTGACTTTATGTTTAAGATTTACTGGTAATTAATACATATGTGCCTTTTAAAAGGGAACTCCGCCACTTTAATTTGAATCATGAGCTAATACTCAGCCTTTGAAAACAGCTGTATAGCGTCTTTTGTTGCTCTGTGGGAGCGTTGTCAAGTCTGAGTAAATATTCCTCATGATGTAATCACAGTTTGTCTCACCATACTAACTTTTAACAGCTGTCTGCGCTTTAACGAAGGGGTACAATGAAAGACTTTTACCATACATGCATAGATAATGTCATGCCGTCATCCAGCCTTCTCAGCAAACAGGATTTACACAAGTTTTAACTTAAGGTTACATACTTTAAGAGATTTTTAGAGTGTATTTTTTAAGGTAATACGTTGCGAAATGTCATATTAATGCCCAGCTTTAGGAGGAAAAGAACAAAGACATATATATATATATATATATATATATATATATATATGTACTGTATATATGTGTGTA